CAAATCCTGGGGACCAGGTCACCATGGCGACTAAACATTTCATCATGGCACCTAGTATTTTCTACTATTTTATTTATGCGTGAGGCTGTGCTAAGTAAAACTCTAATCTAGAACAGTTCTGGACTCTTGGAAGTCCAGAACTGTTTTCATATTCTTCAAGTCCTAAATCAACCTTTGTTTCTGTGATTTTAATGGTGGATTCAGCACTTCAGTTTTTTTCAGGAATGAAACACTGTGGTTGAAAAACACATTACTAATTTCATGCCATTTTCTTTTCCTTCTTTCTCTCAATTCAACCAATCAGTGTGCGTCTTTAGACTCAGATGGGACCAAAGGCAGCTAGTTCAGGCAATACTATCAAGTGGTTGTTAATATCATGCCATTTTGTTTTCCTTCTTCCTCTCAATTCAACCAAACAGTGTGCGTCTTTAGACTCAGATGGGACCAAAGGCAGTTAGTTCAGGCAATACTATCACGTGGTTGTTAATATCATGCCATTTTGTTTTCCTTCTTCCTCTCAATTCAACCAATCAGTGTGCGTCTTTAGACTCAGATGGAACCAAAGGCAGTTAGTTCAGGCAATACTATCATGTGGTTGTTAATATCATGTGATCGTTAGCATAGGTAGGTCTAGTAGAAAGTTAAACTTATATATACTGATTTTATGTAGGCTAAAACCATTACATCATCAGTGATCATGTATTTCCTTTTAGGTGACTCAAATAATAATGTTCACAAACTTCACAACATGTCTTCATAATCAGCCAGGAAAAACTGGACATGGAAAAAATTCCATTTTATATCTTGAGGCTAAATTACCAGCTCTGTGATTGGTGAGACTAAATTACCAGATCTGTGATTGGTGAGACTAAATTACCAGATCTGTGATTGGTGAGACTAAATTACCAGATTTGTGATTGGTGAGACTAAATTACCAGATCTGTGATTGGTTTGTTCATAGTAATCCAGCAGTTTGTTTTTATTGTATACATTTGACAAATTTTTGACTTAATGATGAATCAATACATAAAGAAATTAATGTGAAGCCACAAGTAAGAGGATGAGTGAATTGATATAACTAGGGATAATATCAATATTGTTAAGCCTACTACTAGTACACCAAAGATGGGGTACTTGGACAAATAGGCAGCATAACATATTTGAACCATGGAAAAGGGGGGGGGTGATAATTGGGGGCACCTTACTTGCTACAATAACCATGACCATTGATATTCTGAACTGAAACAGTGACTTTTAGGATAGTTTGTTTCATTACTGGATGATAACTATTATACTACAATCAATCAAGATATCATTATGACACATCACACAACTGTTAACATTGTATTCCATATCATCAAATTGGCCTATATAATGGTTCCATAAATGCAGTCAATCGAACAACAGGAGTGACCCTTAAAACACCCATTAGTGTCAGTAAGTGTAAAAAATGTTGTGACAAAAGCTAATGTTTCTACCTCTTTCTTAGCTTCAACTTCGACCGTGTCTTGTTCAATCTTGATCATAAGTCTTTCTGTCTCAGCAGAAGTCTGAATTAACTGTGGATGGAGAGCTGTAAGCTCATCCTGCATTACAAATACCTGGGAAGAGGCAAACTCCAGTTTCTCCAGGCCAACCTGCAAGCACCAACAAAACCTGAATTAACTGTGGATGGAGAGCTGTAAGCTCATCCTGCATTACAAATACCTGGGAAGAGGCAAACTCCAGTTTCTCCAGGCCGACCTGCAAGCACCAACAAAACCTGTATTAAGCCAAACTTAGGCTTTGAATGACTTTTAGCAAGAAGGCAAATAACAAGCTTTGAATCTTCTAGCATAAATTGCCTCTGGAGAATATTTATAGCCACAAATAATTTCATAGTTATGGTATGTAGAATATATGGAGCTATAAATTCAAATGATACACACTTATAAAACAAAGATTTTCTTATGCACACTGAGTTTTCCTTGTTACTATGTTGCATGAAGTTTTAATAAAGACAAAAAGTTTTAACTTTTAAACCATTCAATATACTGTTGAAGTAGACCAAAATAAGCAACTTTAGTATATCTTTTAAAATTTTGTTCTAGATTTTATTTTACAAGTCATCATTCTTATCTTAAAGCTGGTATGGGTACATTTAGAACTAAAGTACTTATTTTATGTTTTAGCTATAACAATTAAACTGGCTATTTCTAGTTTAAGTTACAGTTTAAAATAATTCATAGAAAGCACAGTTCCTATTTTTTCTGGACTTCCTTATGCTGTAAACAAACTGTGACATCTTAATGGGCTTTCAGTACCAAACTACTGAGTGGAAATGCAACGATTTTCTTAGTCAGACACACACACACA